CTCCCTTGTTGCTTTCTAACCTTTGTAGAGGGATAATACTTTTTCTATTGTTTTGTTAAGTCAGACACAAAATTTTATGTTAACATTTACAATTCTGTGATCTTTATGACAGAATTTGGATGATGTTGTAGTCATCCTGACAGATCCAGGAAGTATTAAGTGTATTCCTTATCTGCTGATGACAAATTCCATTCTCTTGAGACCAGAAACGCAAGCATTACCCTGAGCCTCTAGAAAGTGCAGGATCTCAGGACACACAGTGGAACTACTGCCGTTTCAACAAAACTCAGAAATTGCCATGCACACTGAGGAACACTGATGTAGTATCCTTGACTTTTGAGAAGTTTAACCATTTAAAAATATCTGACAACTCATGCAGCCCTGAAATGTGACAGCCATTTTGCTACTGTTGTATAGCTCTAGAAAATTAATGTTGGGCAGTGATTCTCAAAGCTAGTCCCTAATAGCATTATCATCTGGGAACTTAAGAATGAACATTCTCAGATCCACCCTTGCCCCACTAAAGAAAATCTTGGGGTGGGATCCAGCAACGTTTTTTGTTTTGTTTTGAAAAGCCCTACAAATAGCCAGCTGTTTTGACTGAGTGGTTGAGTGTGGACCTATGAAGCAAGAGGTCACTGGTTCAATACCCAGTCAGGGCACATGCCCGGGCTGCAGGTTCGATCTTCAGTACAGGGCATGCAGGAGGCAGCTAACCAGTGATTCTCTCTCATCATTGATGTTTCTTTCTCTCTCCTCCCCGCCCCCCCTCTCTAAAAATCAATAAAAAATATATATTTTTAAAAAAAGCCCTACAAATAAATCTGGTTTCTACTAGAGAACCCCTTACCTATGGGTCAAGAAAAAAATCTAATATATGTAGGCTAAATGCACCACACACCAAAGCATTTGTTATTGGAACTTTAGGATTTTGAAGTTAATTTTGGTTAAAAAAAAAAAAAGTGCCCGGCCAACATTGCTCAGTGGTTGAGCATTGACTTATGAACCAGGAGGTCATGGTTCAATTCCCGGTCAGGGCACATGCCCAGGTTGTGGGCCCGATCCCCAGTGTGAGACAGCTAAAAAATGACCTCTCTTATCACTGATGTTTCTCTCCTCCCTCCCTCTCTGAAATATATAAATTTTACAGTAACTACTTTCCATTACAGAATTTTATTTTCTAGTCAGTGTAAAGATACTGGTTCGTTGAAGATAATTTTATTAACTTTCTGAACATTAAATTAATAAAATATAAAATACAAATTTAATACTCATAGAAGGACGTGACATGGCAATTGTCTCTTTCAAAAATCTTACTAAAAACATTGACGTCTTCAGGTTATCCTTTCAAACAGTGGTTCTCATGCTTGGAGGTGCAGCAGAATCCCCTGAGGACCAGTGAAAGTGACTGCTGGCCTCGCCTGCATGTGATTTGGGCCTGAGGTTCTCATTTCTACAGAGGTGGGGGGCTCTGGTCTGGGAACCACGGCTTTTTAGTATTAACATATTTATCCCCTCAGGTCCTTAATCTCTATATGACCTCACAACAAAATGCCAGTCCTAGAAGTAAGTGAATTATTGAATAATACTTTATAGTTCAAATAGACTAGTTCGATGCTTGAATATTTTTAGGTCTGCTGCTCAGTGACTCAGCAAATTATTTTCTTTGTAACAGAATGCTTGTAAAGACATGGGAGGAAAAAAGCCATAAACCAATTGTATTTCATTTGTGAGTTTATTACTCCATATTAGCAATGTATACATATAGGAGCAATAACACTTAACATTTAAAAAATTAGGCCTCGTGGACAAATTTTCTATGGTTTAAATATCGGAATAGAGCAAACTTTACGTTTTTGGTTTTATTTTATTTTAAAGATGTGTACCTACTCCTTGTGTGGTCTTTCTGGTTAATGTTGTGAAATATTATGGTAGCAGCCCACAAATACAGAACAACGGACAAACCTCCTTTTCAACTCTTTGTGAATGGGAACCACTGGAGGGATCTTTACCCCCGGCAATTTTGGGTCAGTCTCCAGGATAAGGAGCTATTCAAGAAGCCTGTCATTGTTATGAGAGAAAAATCATGTTTTTACTAAAGCATATATCTTGGCCCAAGGAAAGTAAATGGGCGATATGAGTAAGGCAGAGATATGTTGTAGAATAATGGAAATTATATTCTTACAAGTTAAACTGATTTAGATTCCAACTGGGAGTCCTCTGGGAACTCAGGATGACAGATAACTATTTTCCAGTTTTGTAACTGATTTAATTGTGAGCCCTCTTTCATTATAATTTCCAGCTTAGTATTAGGGGTCCTGTGTACACGGAGGTAGTATCCAGCCCTAGAGATCCCAGAAGTATTATATGTTAGCACAGGATGGAGGAAGCAAGGTGTATTCTATCAGCCATCCTCTGAACTGAGCAACATTTAGTTTGAGATGTTTATACAGTATTATGCTATGAAACATTAACTGTATGAAAAATTTCAAAGTTCTCATTTTTGAAGTCAATTTTGGCTATTGTGGTATATAAAGGTTTGGCAAAAGTAGATTTATACTTTTCAGTTTCTCCCAGTTTTTACTCAAAGTCTAGACTTTCATGGTAAATGGTTTGTAAGGCCCTTTCACCGTTAATATTCTGTTAGCAATAACTTACTAGTGCTAACAGTGTAGCTAGTCGGGTGTGGGTCAGTGGTTAAGCCTCATCCTATGAAGCAGGAGGTCATGGTTCGATTACCAATCAGGGCACATGCCCAGATCCCTAGTGGGGGGAGTGCAGGAGGCAGCAGATCAACGATTCTCTCACATCGATGTTTTCATCTCTCCCTCTCCCTTCTTCTCTGAAATCAATAAAAATATATTTTTAAAAATAATAAAGCTAACAGTGTAATGCTGAGGATTTAAAAAGCAGCACCTGAATTCCAAATTGCAACCTCCTGACATTCCACTGAGTAAATCCCACAAATTTAAGAATTCAGATGGAATGACTTGAGAAGATATTGTATGAAATTAAATAATTTCATATTCCTGGACTGAAACCAAACTATTTAACTGTAGTCCATCATTTAGTGAGTGTTACTAGGTACTTTTCTTTGGTACTAAGTATTGCAGATAAAAGAATGTGTAATGTGCTGTCTATAAGCCATACTCAGAGCAGATCTAAATGGTGTAGTTAGGAAGTTAAGTTGACTGAATAACCCAATTATGTGTCCTTATGTCATTATACATTGGAAAGGAGGAATGGCTGAGGAGTGATTTTTCTTTTTTTTTTTAAAGATAAAATTCGAGCAAAAAACTATTACTAATTGCTTTTCAGGTAGTCTGGCCAAAGAGGAATGCATCCCATTTGTGATGACCTGCTTAGTCATGAGATCACCTGTGGTTGAAATAATAAGCTCAGGTATGTGTTCTGTGTTATTTATACACATTTTATACAAGGAGATTGATTTGTTTTGACCTGTAGTACTAAGCCTATCTGTATACATTTTGGTAAGTTAATACTTAGAAATTGATTTGTTTCCCAGAAAAATCACTGTTCATACCATTTACATATAAGAAACCAGAACTTTCAGCATTTTCCACTCAGGGACAAGTATGTTTTTAGAGAAGCTATTGTTCTGAGCAACTGTATTAAATTATGTACCTCTACATGTGTTCCAGTTAGCACATCTGGCACTGACTCAAACTTTCGTGTTCTCTGATCCTGGTTCAGTTGAAATAACTCACCCATTTTCCCCCTGATGACTTTTCATAGCTCATTCTTATTTCTCAGCCTAAACTCCTAAAGGAACTGTCTTATTTTCTACTCACTAGTAGTTATGACCTAAAAGAAATTTTCTTAAAAAGCCCATTCCTCTTATATGTACTGGACCAAGGTACTGTTGACCCCCTCCCCCTTAATGATCTTATGCACTGTTGCTAACTCAAATCTCAATTTTTTTTCAAAAGCTATGAAATCAGATACAGTACTAGTACAAAATTTAGCTAAAAACTACACATTTGGTATCCACATTTATTTGGGATACAAAGAAATAAGAAAGACCAACATTTTGGTACTTTAATGAGAAAACTAGGAAAAGGCGGTTTCAGTATGTAAAATAAAAATGGCTGTCTGAATTGTAAACACAATGTATAGTAGGGTCTAATATGTGACATTCTGAAAATTTTATTAAAATTATAACTCACAATTATAAAACTAATCAGGAACTACATTTTAAACATTTCTATAATCCAGACTGAGCTTGATTTATTAGTTTTCCAAATAAGAGTTTTATCTATGGAAAAGTTCATAGGAACAGTAACCCCACATGAGGCAAAAGCTGACAAAACTGGTCTGGCCTCCCAGGATTCAAAGTAAGGGCACATGTAATATTTCTTTTTAGGCCTCACAATGTTCTGGTTGATTTCTTAAGGTCTGATCTTTTCAAATAAAGGATAACTGGAAACATCCAAAGATGTCCTTCCAACTTGGGATGTGTGGCAACTACATATCAAAAATAGATCAGACCTTTTTGCTCCAATTTCAAGGGGGGGGGGGGGCAAATTCACACTTTATTTACAGAAATTCACCTGGGGTAGTAGAAAATTTCAAATTAAAAAGAAAATTTCAAGTTAACAAAGAAAGTAATTTTTTTAAATAACCCTGTACCATTCCACATTGTGGAAAACTAAGTATGCAGTTCAGACACAACATCAACTTCAAAGCATTGGCACAAATACTTACATTTCTGTATTTTATAATATATTACATAGAACACATCATGTCCCACATATAACAGATGATAGGCCTTAAACTGCATGAGGTTTGCAGATCAAACTTTAAATTTGAAAGTGTTAGCCGTGCCAGAATTCCAAACTGCTTGGAAAGGAGTATTTAAAAATAGGTCTGAAAGCCATTCCATCCCAATTCTCTGTTTGATCATTGCAGCTGCACTCTGTACGCACCTATTAGCAATTTCACCTATAGGAAGCAAAAAAAAAAAAAAAAAGAATGCATATGGATCAGCACAGAGGTAGTTCTCTTTTCTTAGAAGAGGGGAGAAACATACATGCCCAAGACTAGTTCCTCTTATTTGCAATATTCCCAAATTGGTTATCAATGTAAGTGGTTAGATTATCACTATTTTAATAAAAAATCCAAGTGCTGCCCTAGCCGGTTTGGCTCAGTGGATAGAGCGTCGGCCTGCGGACTCAAGGGTCCCAGGTTCGATTCTGGTCAAGGGCATGTACCTTGGTTGTGAGCACATCCCCAGTAGGGAGTGTGCAGGAGGCAGCTGATCGATGTTTCTCTCTCTTCGATGTTTCTAACTCTCTATCCCTCTCCCTTCCTCTCTGTAAAAAACCAATAAAAATATATTTAAAAAAATCCAAGTGCTTATTATTTGATTTTTAGTTATTATATTTAACTAGAGGCCCGGTGCACAAAAATTTGTGCACTCGGGGGGAGGGGGGGGCGTCCCTCAGCCCAGCCTGTGCCCTCTTGCAGTCTGGGACCCCTCGGGAGATAACGACCTGCTGGCTTAGGCCTGCTCCTGGGTGGCAGAGGGCAGGCCCAATCCCTAGGTGCAGCACCTGGTCGGGCTCAGAGCAGGGCCGATTGGGGGTTGGGGCACCGCCCCCTGTCACACTCAAAGCAGGGTCGATGGGGAGGTTGCGGCACCACCCCGTCACACACAGAGCAGGGCCCATCAGGGGGTTGGGGCGCTGCCCCCTGTCAGAGCAGGGCCCATCAGGGGGGTTGGGGCTCCGTACCCTGTCACGCACAGAGCAGGGCCCATCAGGGGGTTGGGGAGCTCCCCCCAGTCACTCACAGAGTAGGGCCAATAGGGGAGTTGGGGCACCGCCCCTGTCACACACAGAGCAGGGCGTATCAGGGGGTTGGGGTGCCGCACCCTGTCACACTCAGGGCAGGGCCGATGGGGAGGTTATGGCTCTACCCCGTCACACACAGAGCAGGGCCCGTGGCGGGGGGTGGGGTTGGGGCGCCACCCTCTATCACCCACAGAGCAGGGCCGATCAGGGGGTTGGGGCGCCGCCACTGTCACACACAGCAGGGCTGATCAGGGGGTTGTGGCCCCGCCCCGTCACACACAGAGCAGGGCGATCGGGGGTTTGGGCGCTGCCCCTGTCACGCTGATCCCGGTGCTAGGAGGCATATTACCCTTTTACTATATAGGATAGAGGCCTGGTGCACGGGTGGGAGCCGGCTGGTTTGCCCTGAAGGGTGTCCTGGATCAGGAGATGATGGCTGTTTGCAGCTGGTCACACCCCCTTCAGGGTGGGGGTCCCCACTGGGGTGCCTGGTCAATCTAGGTGAGGGGCTGAGGGCTGTTTTCAGGCTGGCGGGTGATTGAAGCTCCCAACCGCTCCTTTTTTTCTTTTTCTTTTTTTATTCTGGGCCAGCTTTAGCTCTGAGGCTTGGCTCCAGCTCTTAGGCCTTGGCTGCTGAAAGCAGGTATCTGGTTTGTTTGGGTTCTATAATCGAAACACTGTATCAACTCCAACTCTGAGATCCCGGCTGGCTGAAAGCAGGTTTCTGGGGTTTTGTTTAGCTTCTATATTTGTAACAATGTTTCAAACTGCAAGCTCAGAGGCCGGCAGCGGCAGGCGGGGAACGTTGGAGTCCTCCGTCACTGAAGCAAGCAAGCCTCATGTTTGCTTCAAGCTGCCTGGCTGCCGGCCGCCATACTGGCTGGCAGTTAATTTGCATATCGCCCTGATTAGCCAATGGGAAAGGTAGCGGAGGTACGGCTAATTACCATGTTTCTCTTTTATTAGATAGGATACTTGTACTATTATACAGACACCAGCTTCATTTTACAAAGAGAGTTTATTGACTAGCCTAGCGACATAACATATGGCAATTAAATACCAAAGCCAAGACTGCTATAGAGACACAATATATTTTATATCTGCCATGTTTTACATTCATATTGCACTGACTTCTACCCAAGGGAGCACAGGTCTCTAGGACAGGCATACCAATAAGCCACAACATGATAAAGTTACCTAGCATAACAATTTGAATAGGAACAATAAAGATGAGGAAAGAATTCTCACCTTAGCAGAAGGTGCTTCTGTCAACCTTATAAAGAGTTTATTGAGGCCTGCAACAGGGCTGAATGAGTAAACAAAATGACTATCCTAGGGAAAGAGACCAAAAAGGGTCAGTATTTCTTCCAACATCTACATCTAGAAACAGCTAGGCCAAATCTGAAAAGACCAGAAACCTTTAAGACTCTGTAAGTTTTGTATTTGAATTCATGAGGTAGTAAGCTGTGATTTCTTTAATTTCCCTTGACTTATTAAAAAGTTACAAATGAAAAAACAATATCCAGGTAAATCTTTATGATTAGAATGCATCCAGTAATATACAGCATGAATGTTAGGAAAGAGTTCTAAATGTGACCAAGGAATCATGCATTAAGGTTCTTCAAGGGCATTTTTTATATTAACACGTTAAGTGCCCGGTCAGTCACCAGTGACTGACACTATACTTTCCGTCCAGAAGACAAAATAGGCTGGGCACTTAACGCGTTAAAAAGGAAGGTCTACAGCCACTATGTATTTTTATTTTAAAATATTTGTAATAAAAATACAAATTTTAGCATAATGAAAGCTAAAATTAAGCATAAACTAAGCCAGTGATGGCGAACCTTTTGAGCTCCGTGTGTCAGCATTTTGAAAAACCCTAACTTTGGTGCCGTGGCACATATAGAAATTTTTTGATATTTGCAACCATAGTAAAAGATTTACATTTTTGATATTTATTTTATATATTTAAATGCCATTTAACAAAGAAAAATCAACCAAGAGAGTGAGTTTGCGTGTCACCTCTGACACGCGTGTCATAGGTTTGCCATCACTGAACTAAGCACAAATACAACAGTAGGACATTGGTTGTATTTGATTATTTGAAGCATGAACAGGTATACTTTTCTTCTTTGTTGAATTTCCTGTAAGTGAATGTTTATAATTATAATGGTGGGAAAGGCATAATATTTAAATTCTTATATCATAAGAATTTATATTCTGTATGTTATTTTTGACAAAATTTAGGATGATTACAGGTTATTGCCTCATTTCCAACAACAGGTTTACTGAATTATAATTAACATTTTATTAAAACATAGCCATTTAAGTCATCTTTTGATTAGAAAAATGTACTTTTCAGTAATGAACTATAGAAAAATCTTACCAGAAAAACAGGAAGTTGAAATTTATCATTTAAAATTACAGCTTGTACACTACATGGTCCACAGAGTCGAGCAATAACATCTTTACCCAAAAAATTCGCATGGAAAATGAATAGCAGGATGCCAGAGCCTGAGCAGGAGAGATGCACACACAGATTTTTAACCCAATCCTTGAACCTCCACCTTCCAGTACCTAAGGGAGGAGATGAGGTGGGGATGGGTAGGGTAGAAGAACAGACACAACTTGTGTGCCATGCCCACTCTCTCCTCCCTAGTGAAGGACTCCTCCAATTTTCCAAACCACAACTCCTGTTATTTTTTGTCTATGTATTTCCTACTGATAGCTCATGGAACGGACTTTTTAAAATGTGCTTTTCTGCGGTAAAATTATTTTATTTTAAAAGAACTGGCATTTGCTGAATGCAAATGCATAGATATCCCTGGAAGTAAACCACTGGGCATTCTATGGGTTTGAGTGATTTTCTGTTTTCTTCCACATACTGTTTTGCCTTTTCCAAATTTTGTGATTAATAGAAAAAAAAATCTCATTTTGGAAAAAAAAGTTAGCATGAGATTTGAAAAAACTCAAGAACACAGACAACAGTGTGGGATTGTGGAGGGTGAGGCGGTAGGAGGTGGAGGAAGATATAGATAACTGGTGATGGATGTAGACTTGGGGTGGTGAATACACAATACAGTGTACAGATGATGTGTTGTTGAATTGTGCACTTCAAACCTGTATAACCCAATAAATTCAATAAAAAGGAAAAGTTAAAAATTAAAAATAAAATATTCTACAAGGTTAATTTTGAAGAAAAGCTGTTCTTTTTAAAGGAAAAGTTTATTTTTAGAGAGAGAGGGAGGGAGAGGGAAATTGTGAGAGTGAAATATCAATGATGAGCTGCCTCCTGCACACCCCCAATGGGGATCAAGCCCACAAATAGGGCATGTACTCTGACTGGGAATCAAACCTGCAACCTTTAGGGCATGAGACTATGGCCAACCAACAGAGCCACATTTGCCAGGGCCCCTTTGCTTTCTTTATTCTGGTCCCAGGGAAGTAAGGGCACACCTTGTCAAACTATTTACGGTTTGACAGTGATTTTGCTTTCCAGCTTTATAATGAAAACTGACATGAATAGTCAATGCCAAGTTCACCAAATAGTGAATAGTTATGAATGGCTATCAATTATTGATAGGGCTACATATTCATTTTACTTATTTAAACAAAACAAAAAAAGCCAGAACCCAGCTTGCTACGTTTAGGAAGAGACTCAGCTTTCTGTACGTATGGCATCTGTGTCCTAGAGAAGTCATGGTGGCCAGGAAGCAGAACTGAAGTTTCTATTTTCTGCTTTTAAAATTTATTAAAGGGCAGACATATATTTTTTCTTTTTAAAAAGCCAAGACTATTATCAATAATAAAATCCAGAAGAAAAAAGAAATTGATTCTGGGCTCAGAACGTAAAAATTCAAATAAAAACTAGTATAATATTAAGACCAAACTTCCATACTTTTTAAACAAGTTCTACAACATGCTCTGTGGACCCCTCAAAGCCACCTGGGATGGTAGATTTGGTTTCTTTTTTTCTGCCAGAGCAACTCTGTTGATAACTGTTTTACATAATTATTATACTAATAGAATTTTCTTAAGATTTGTTTAAAGAATGAGTTCTAAATCAGTTAACAGCTATAGTGTCATATTTCAAACAGAGAAAATGTAAGCTTACCTTCTGTTATGTTCTGTGGAGGTTTATAATTGAAATCCATTGAAAAATCTGGCCCCTCACAGAGACGATGACATGCTATTGGAAAAATTGGTTCTAGAAGAGCAAGGCGTGCTTCAAAGTAATCCTTTATCGTTTCTTCTGCTACTCTTGAAAGTCTAATAATAAAGTATGTAGTAAGAGTTAATATTAATGTAAAAAAGAATCATGAGCCATAAAATTATAAAACTGTTAAATCCAGATCAACCTTAAAAATAACATGCAATTCCTTCATCCCTCTACTCTGCACTGGGCACCTGACATGCCATTTGTCTTTCTTACTGTCTGTCCTCTCCCAAGGATTCCGGTTCCATGAGGGCAGTCCTTACCCCCACTGCTCTCTCCATCTCCCCAGCAGTCTGAAAAGTGCCTGGCAGATAGTGTTCAATAAATATCTGTCTAATAAATGAATGATCAATTTGGAGAATCAGAAATGAGAATTCTGTTAAAAAATAAATCCAAGAATTGGCACACACACAAGCAGTCAAATAAAATTCAGAAAACTTTTTTTCAAGATTACTTTATTCCTGCATTTTCTCAATTGTTTCTTCCTTATGTTTGCCCTTTTCTTTTTTTTACTTGGTGAGATTTGGCTTTACACTCAAGGATCTTTTTGTGATATTTGTCCAGATTTAGCCTAGTGATAACCACCTTGCTGGGGTGAATGACTAAGATTTCTACAGATGGCAGAAACTTAAAGTATTTTGCCAATTTGCTGCCCTTAGTCATCCTTTTGGATGGGCATGAATTGAACATTGTACGTCTGCCTCAACTCTTTGAAAACAGGAGAATATGTGGAAAAATGCATTGAAATGATTTTTATGGTTTTTGCTCTGGTCAGAAGTCACAAAGGAATTAAACTTCATTTCTGGATGCTGCTGCTTCAATGATGGCTGCAAAAGGGCAGAAACTATCTCACTAAGAAGGTAACCAACTCATCTGGTTTGCCCAGCATCCCCGGAATCGCTCCATGTATCATGCAAACCAGGAAGGCTGGTCGACCTACTTGCAGGCTATCTGGATCTGTTATCCATGTGAACAAACTGAGATGAGCTGGCTTCCCAGGATTCCATGTAGCTATAAATGCTGGTCAGTCACACACAAATTATTGGTTGGGCCCTGGCTGGTATTGCTTGGTGGGTAGTGTGTTGGCCCACACATGGAAGGGTCTTGGGTTTAATTCCTGGTCAAGGGCACTTACCTGGGTTGCAGGTTCAATCCCTGGGCCCGGTTGGGGTGCGTGTGGAAGGCAACCAGTCCATGTGTCTCTTTCACATGGATGTTTCTCTCTGTCTCTCCCCCTCCCTTCCACTCTCCAAAAGTCAATGGAAAAATATCCTCGCCCTAGCTGGTCTGGCTCACTGGATGGAGCGTCGGCCTGCGGACTGAAGGGTCCCAGGTTCGATTCTGGTCAAGGGCATGTACCTTGGTTGCAGGCACATCCCCAGTGGGGGGTGTGCAGGAGGCAGCTGATCGATGCTTCTCTCTCATTGATGTTTCTAACTCTCTATCCCTCTCCCTTCCTCTCTGTAAAAAATCAATAAAATATAAAAAAAAGAAAAATATCCTCGGGTGAGGATTAACAACAAAAATCAATGTATTAACAAAAAAATAATGGGTTGGGCGAGGCTCTCATCAAAGGCTGTTAAAGGGGGCACACTCACTACGCACATATTCCTTTATTTTGACCTTTGCCACCTTTTTTGTCTCCTGTCCAAAACTGACCTTACTTTCTGCTTAGAATATAGATCTCCTACACCTGGAATTGGAGTTACCATCTTGCAGACATGAAGACCCAAGTCAGATTCTAACTATGGTGGATGAGAAAGAGAGGCTATTCCTGCCTAAACTGCCTACTTCTATACTTGGTTATATGAAAAATAAACACCTTACTTGTGTTAGCTACTGTCTGTGACGTTCCTATTATGTGTTGCCAAAATAAATGTCTTAGAATTCTTTTGAAAAAGAATGGGTAAACTGTGAAGCATCTGGACAATGGAATGATCCAGCATTAAAAAGAAATGAGCTATAGAGCCCGGAAAAGACATGGAGGACATTTAAATGCATATCAGTAAGTAAAAGAAGACCATCTGAAAAGGCTACATGCTGTATGATTCCAACTATGTGAAATTCTGGAAAAGGCAAAAATATGGAGACAAGAAGATCAGTGGTTTTCAGGGTTTAGTGGGGGAGAGAGGGATGAATAAAGTGGAGCCCGGGGGGCAGTGAAACTATTCTGTGTGATACTATGATGGTGGGTATGTGTCATACATTTATCAAAATCCACAGAATGTACAACACCAAGGTGAACTAACAAACATGGACGATAGGTTCATTAACTGTACCACGTTGGTAGAAGAGGTGGGGGAGGCTGTGCATGTGTGGGGGCAGGGGTTATATGGAAGATCTCTTGTACTTTCTGCTCAATGTCACAGTGAGCCTGAAAGTGCTCTAAAAATTGTGTCCATTAAAAAACAAGAATGAACTAAAATTTAAGAAAATGTGAGCCAAATTAAGAGCCTAGTCAAGATTTTAAGGAGATGCTTCTAGATTAAGTCTAAAAGTTTCTAAGACCTCAATACCTGTAGAAAAGTAATTCATATGCCACTTAAATCTGTGATCTTTTTAGAAGAGAAGCCCATTGGGACCTCTACTTGATAATCTTTTCTGAGCAGTTACATATACAGACCATTCCAGTTTTTGTCTTTTGTATGTGTGCACGTGCGTGTGTGTGTGTGTGTGTGTGTGTGTGTGAAAATAATTTAGATAGAGGGCCTGCTACCAGAGGGAGATAAAATTATAGTTTAATTTAAACTAATGTTTGATAGACGGAGGAACCTAGCAAGGCCTTTCTTTCTTAATCCTCATGAGGATATGGTTTTTTATTTTGGGGGAGGAGAATGGGAGAGGGAGAGAGAAATATCAATGTGAGAGAGAAACATCTATTGTTTGCCTCCTGTACACACAGGAGGCAATTGGAAATCAGACTCACAACCTAGGCATATGCCCTGACTGGGAATCAAACCTGCAACCTTCTGGTGTATGGGATGAATGATTCTTTAACCAACTGAGCCACGTTGCTAGAGCTAGGCCATTCCTGTTTTGATGTGTCCAGCCCTGTAACTTAAGTATGGCACAGTCACAGAGCACTTACGTGTCTAAATGATTCTTCAGCAAGTCGTACACCAACACATTGTTACACTGCTTTGCAAAATACATTGCGCTAGTTTGGTGCTTTGACAAAATATTGCAGTCAGCTCCACATTCAATTACAAGTCGTACAATATCCAAATTTCCTCTTTTACAGGCCTAAGTCCCAAAAAAAAAAGGAGCAATAATTAACTAAAGTTAACTACCAGTCAGTGTTTGTCCCTTTCTTCACACTTGAGACAGCCTGGGAGCTCTTTGTGAAGAGAGGGAAAGAAGGTTGGAAAAAACCTCGAGTTGGGTCTCCCAGGGTATTAGAAACGTTTACATAAACAGGAGGGGTCCAGTACAGAAATCTGTGCTACATTCAAAACGATACCTCTATCCCAACCCAGAAGAAACACCAGGCCTTTTTAAGCTCCACTCTCCATCCATGTCCTGTTGTCTTATTAGGAAAGCCCTGGGAATCTAAAGTGCCTCTTAGCATCACAAAATCTCAGAATTTTCCTAGTATCTGCTCTGAGGAGACTAACAAGCATGCATACATGTCTAAATTTAAATCCAGAATGGCCCTGAGTCACACTTTAAAGACCACTCTAGAGTATCTGTTTAGAACCCACTTGGTGATTTCTCAGTAAGATAGTTTTAATTCATTCTTTGAATGCTACCTCTGCTTTAAACATTGGAAAATTTACAAACATAATGGAAAACAAATTCAAAAGTAGGGGTCCTGAACAAAATATTTCCACAAGCCACCAATGAAATGGATTCTCTATATAAGAGCGGGGTTTATTCTCTTTGTGTAGAACCCTAAAACTGATGCAGCACGCGGGCCAGGCCTTTAGAATACCGAATTAGAAAGCAGATTCAGGCAGCCCACGGTGCAACAGGCTCATCCATAAGAGCACCTCAGCGTTAAAACCCGGCATTAAATCAACCA